CCTTCCCTTCTAATTGTAACTTTTAATTGGACTTGGTCTATGACTTGAATCTGTTTGTGAATGCCTATGTCGGAGTCTTCTTCCTTGCTTACGGGAGACCTGGGAGTTTGATTGATAGCCTCTGCTCTGTTTGGGTAGCTATAAATAGCATCTAGCAGGAAGCAGCTGCCACCAGCATTCCATCAGCAGACCGACGGGCCACAGAAGTGAGCCACGGTGCACAGAAACCACAGCTGAGAGGCCTTACAGACTGTGGGCTAGAACAGGGAGGAAGCGTCTAGTTCTGTTATTACAATCTAAAATACCTGCTGCTATAAAGGATGATTGTTTTCTCACAGTCAGCCTTTGTCAGCCATTTCTGTCTCCTCAACGCGTGGAAAGAATTTTGTGAATTTAGAAGCAGAAATGTTTTTAATGAGACAAATGCTTACATTTTTGGCAATGTTCTGTAGAAAGCTTATACAAAACCGTTTAAAAGTTTAGGGTTTGGTAAGATTTTGAAATCTTTTTGAAAGAAGTCTCTTATTCTCATCTCTTCAAGGCTGTATTATTATTATATATTTTTTTAAATACAGTAAACTAATATTGTGAATTGTTACGGTTTAAAATGACTGATTATATACTGATGATATATTATTATTTTAAAAATGTAATTTATTCCTGTGACAACAATGCTGAAATTTCAGCATCCATTATTTCCGTCTTTAGTGTCGCATGATCTTTTTCTAATATGCTGATTTTGTGCTCAAGAAACATTTCTTAATGTTAAAAACAGTTGTGTTGCTTAATATTAATGTGGAAAGTGACACATTTTTTTTTCCAGATTTATTTGAATAGAAAATGGAAAAACAGCATTTATTTGAAATAGAAATCTTTCGTAACAATGTCAAAGTCTTTACTGTCACTTTTGATCACTTTAATGCATCCTTGCTAAATCAGTGTTAATTAATCAATCAATCAATCTGGCTGACCCCAAACTATTGAATAGTAGTGTACCTGGTTAATTTTTCTTAGTATCCTATTTAATCTTGATTTGATAGTAGGTAAAATTGTCTATTTGCTCTTGAATGCTGTGAAATGAGACCCAGATTTGTTAGAAAGACTTACTGTGGTGTTCTCTCTCTTTCCAAACTAGTCATCTTCAACAGATCTGAGCAGCGAGGTCTCTGTGTCCCCACAAACAAATGGCATCTGCTCAAACAACAACTCCGACTCCAAGCCAAAGACTGACCTCAGCCTTTACACAGAGCCAAAGAAAATAAAGGTAAGCTGCACACACAAATCATGCCTTGTGCACAATAAAAGGTCTAAGTGGTTATTAGATTATTAGAGACAAGTACTAGGACAGTTTCCTTGGAAGCAATCATACAGCATTTGTAAAGTGTCTGTTACATATTATCTTTTCTCTTACATTGTTTCTTTATTTTTTCAGACAAGTGGTTATCTAAACCTTCTTGCTAACTGCATTGATAACTTCACTCATGGGCTGGCAGTGGCAGGAAGCTTCTTAGTAAGCCGAAAGGTAAGAGCAAACAGAGATCAATTCCATATAAATGGGATTCAGCCTGCATTTTTACTACTACTGAACTCAATAAAGTAATGCTAAAGGAAAGCCGATTGCTGCTAGCACAGCCTGCTATAGAGTGCACTATTAATGACTAGTTCATATCTTTGCTTAATGTGAACAGGTCTGTGTAGGGCAGTTGGATGTCTGGTAATTATGACTTCATGTGCTTTATAAATAGATTCAGAGTTCCTGTGTAAATATAATGTGGTTTGGCCACTTTTAAGCATTTTAAACCTTAAACTGATCGCATCCCCCATAATTCTTTTGGTCAGTGGTGATCATTGCAAACAGTGAGATAGAGATGTTTATGTAATGTGTGAGAATATTTATAGTGCAGCAGTATTTATATGGCTTTGTGAAGTTGAAGTCCAGGTGGAGAAGCATAAGGCTCCCAGCATGCGTGGAGAGGGAGTTTCAGAGGAAATGGACTTGGTGCAACAGAAACCACTGAAAACTTGCACTGAAAAACACACGTTTACACATTTGCTCACTGGCCTGGACATACATATTTGGCTGCAGAAATGCAAGGAAGAGTATTGATGGAGAACTGTGCCATTTTACGGTTTTTGCTACCTCCCCCATAGCTTCTGTTGATATTCAGTTAAACATATGTGGCAAATAAACATTGTCTGGATTATAAAATATGGTTTTGCTGCCCTACCATGGTTGAATTAGAAAACAAGCGTATACTGCAATATATTTACAATACCTTATTTTACTTGTCCTAACAGGTCGGTTTCTTAACAACATTCGCTATTCTGCTTCATGAGATCCCTCATGAGGTACGTATCTCAGTATCTTTCTCTTTCTCTGTCTCTTGAGTTTCAACCAGGTAATTAGTATACAGGAACAATGCATTTCATTTTTTCAGTTTATTATTAGTGACTTGGAATGAGCAAGGAGTCATTACTGCACGTGAAATGTCTCAATACTTTATAGTACTCAATACTTACCAATTTTCGGTTGCTGTGCACACATTTCTGTCTTCATGGAAAGGTGGGAGATTTTGCCATTCTGCTGCGAGCAGGATTTGACCGCTGGAAAGCTGTCCGTATGCAGCTCTCTACAGCGTTAGGAGGAGTCCTGGGGGCATGTTTTGCTCTTTGCTCCCAGTCACAGCATGGGGCAGGTGAGACACCACAGTCCTCAGACATCTCTCTTCTCTCAGTCTATACACTACTGTTCAAAGGTTTAGGGTCAGTATGATTTTTCTAATAAAACAAAAAATGAAAACTTGTATTTAGTAAGAAAGCAATAAATAATGTTATTTCAAATAATTGCTGTTCTTTTGAACTTACTATTCATCAAAGAACACTGAAGAAAAATTATCATGGTTTCCACAGAATTATTAAGCACAACTATTTTTAACACTGATAATGATAATAAATCTTTATTGTGAACCAAATCAGCATATTAGAATGATTTCTGAAGGATCATGTGAGACCGAAGACTGATAATAATGTAATGGAGTAATGGTTGCTGAGACTAGAAAACACTTGTTTTAAATTGTAATAATATTTCATATTACATATTACATTTTTACAGTAGTTTAAATAAATGCAACCTTTGTGAGCATTAAGCCCGAGACACACTGCACGATTTTCGGCTGTCCCAGACGAATCGTGAAACAATCGTGGCGATTTCTGTGATCGTGGCTCCTAATCGGTGGTCCTATGTCGCACAGTGAGTGAGGTTCAAAGACAGCCGTAGTCACCGTCTTGCGACCAAAGATAGCATACAATAATTTTCTGACAGTGTTAGAAATTCAGCATGATCATCGCACAGTGTGTTTACTGCTATGACCCACGTTTACCGACCAGCCAATAAAAATGCGTCATGAAATCAACGCAACATTGTGCTAAAACACAAAACTGCTTACCTCAAGCTCTTATCCCTTCCTCTTTTGCCGCTTCCACTTTTTTTTCAGCACACATAAAAACTACAACTGCCTAAGTGTGATTTCATCATGCTGTTTTTGTTTGCCACTAGCGCATGCTGATGACATTTTATTCTTCTATAGTAACGTGCGTCGTAGCGTACGAGTCAGTAGGTGTCATCATCGTACAGTCTACATGAATGTCGTACCCAAGTTTATTAGAACCATGTCGCACAGTGTGATTTGCAATGATCATATAGGATTGCTATAATCGTGCAGTCTGTATAAGGCTTAAGAGATGTATTGTATCTTTAAGCTTTTTCATGTTTCTTCTGATTGTCAGCATTTGTTGTTGTTTGCAATGTTGTTCTTCCTTATTTGTGACTTGCCATCCCATGCCTAACATGACTTTTAGCAGCTACTGATACTTAATAAATGAGTGTTTTTATTTGTGGAAAACTCATAAGCACATAAGCAGCTTATCAAACACATTCTTCAGTGTTGGTTCTGCTCATGTGTCTTTCTAGAGAATGCCACTGCCTGGATCCTGCCCTTCACCTCAGGTGGCTTTCTCTACATTGCGTTGGTCAATGTGGTACCTGATCTGCTACAGGAGACCAACCCTAGGTAAGGTGTTCACTTCCCTGAGAATGGGGTTTTCTGTCTGTTTGTCTCCCACAGTAAAATCCTGCCATACTTCACATTAAATAAACTGAATGTCCATGATCGTGTACCCTGTTCCCACAGGAACTCCTTTCTACAGGTTCTGCTGTTGTTTTGTGGGATAGCAGTCATGGGTCTTCTCTCAGTCGTCATGGACTAGCCACAGATGAGCACTGCTTTTATCAAGGGGCATTTAGAGTGCTACCTAGCATGTTGGAGGACTTAGGGACAGTTCACTCCACTGGTTATGCTTTAAATAATTTTTGTCACCCCCCAAAGACCATGCGAGGAAAGACCTAAGAAAGAAACAGCCTTGACAATCAGGTGTTTGAATCTGTGTCCATGTGATTTTAGCCTTATCCTTCATACACTTCTGTGTCCGGATTAAAACTGAACTCATGCCTGAAGTTGAAAATTGAAGGGAAATACAGGTTTGTGCAAAAGGTGCTCCAGAATAACAGTGGTTGCATTTGGTACTATTTTGCATTCTTGTTCATGTTTCTGACGGTTTTTTTTTTGTTTTTTTGTCAAACACATTCCCAATGTAGGTTACATCAATGTGATTTGCTTTAATTGTATGGAATACTGCACATGCAGGTTTCACAAGTCAACACTTTATCCTTTATTAAGAGACAAGCACATATGCTTACATAATCAGATTTTTGATGGTCATCATCATTCCGTTTCTATAAACTAATACTGCTTCACTTTTATAAGTCTTTCTGTTGAAGTTAAATCTATACAAGCTCATTTCATGCTTCATTTGCTCAAGACATCCACACTTTGCATGACTACATATTCCTAATTGCACATACATCAGTGAACACACTCCTGTTGTCAGACACTTTTGAAATGCTTAACTGGCCTTATTTTAAGGTATTCCTCAGTTATTTTTTAAATTGTGATGTCTGTCTTTTCTTACAGTGTTTAGTCTTGTTACTGATTGTGTCCTGATAGCCACTACACTGCTGCATTTTAGCTTTAATTTACTGATTTTCTGTACAGTTCATTGTGGTCCTGGCATTGCAATACACAGTTTTGAGTGATTTAGTCTTGAGTTATTGATGGATTCATAAGCAGACACTTCGTTTACTTAACTGACTTGGTGCCATTTCAATCACATTTTTAAAAAGATAAAATAGTTGATAAATGGATTGTCTGTTTAAGAGTTTTGTATATGGAATGTTACTGAAAAGAATGTTCTGAACGTGTCACATGGCAGGTCAGAACAGTCTTTGCCAGATTGTAAATATTTGAAAAGAGATTATATATATTTATTCTGTAAACAATGCCACGTTGAAAGAAAATTTTTTTACTTTTAAGTCCTCCCAATGTTATATTTGAAATAAAGAAATATTACAGTTTGATTTCAAACTGATGTGACGTCTGGTTTATATGTGTGCAGCTTTTACTTGTTGGGGTAGCACTGCTCCCAGCATTGTGTTCCTTGTAGAAATGTATTAATCAGTTCAGCTGACAGATCTAAATCATTTGCTCACCTCCTAGCAAAGTGTCTCTTCTCTCTACTGCTGAAAAGCTGTTTGGGTAGTTCATCTAAAAATTAAAATTCTGTAATTTACTCATCCTTTACTAACATTTTGAAGAATGTTGGTAACCAAGCAGTTGACGGTAGCTGCTGACTTCCACAGTAGTATTTTTTTTCTATACTATGGAAGTCAATGGCTATGAACTGCTACCATTTTTCAAAATATCTTTTATTTTCAACAGCTGAACAAAATTCATACAGGGTTGGAACAACATGAGGGTGAATAAATGATGACAGAATTTACATTTTAGGTGGCTACACCTTTAATAACAGATTATCACAATCTCCAGTGACTCCTTTTCAGTGCAAATAAAAACAGAAATTCTGAAAACACGTTACTTCAATTAAAGGTGTAGTTCACTCAAAAAAATAAAAACGAGATATTTTGAATAATGTTGGTAACGTTGGTTTGGAACAATACAAGGGTGAGTAAAAGATGACAATTTTTATTTCGAGTTGAACTATCCCTTTAAAGGAGTAGTTCACCTTCAGTTGCTGGTCCCCATTGACTTCCATCGTATGGGAAAAAACCGCTATGCGAGTCACTGGGGACCAACTGAGGGTGAACTATCCCTTTAAGGGACGAAAACAGATTCACCTTGATTTACCTTTCTTCAGTACATTTGAGGGCCATGTTCTGATCTACATTTAACCATTAACAGCTTTTTCTATTTCAGTTTTATTAAATTGCTAAAATGTCTTTGTGTTTTTATTTTTAATTTTTTAGACTCAGAGACATACAGTAGATTGCGTGTGACACCAAAGTGATGTATGTTGAGTGAGTGCCTTTCGAAACAGGTCTTTTCTATTGAATTAAAGTTAATAGACTCTAAATGACATTTAGCAGTCCTGCTTTTCATGTCAGAATGACACTGCATATACAGTACCTTCCCGAAGTAGGAAAATGCATTCAATAATGAGGGTTTGATGTTTCCAGCATACAGTGGGTACGGAAAGTATTCAGACCCCCTTAAATTTTTCACTCTTTGTTATACATGTTCTGATCTACATTTAACCATTAACAGTTTTTTCTATTTCAGTTTTATTAAATTGCTAATGTCTTTGTGTTTTTATTTTTAATTTTTTAGACACAGAGCCATACAGTAGATTGCGTGTGGCACCAAAGTGATGTATGTTGAGTGAGTGCCTTTCGAAACAGGTCTTTTCTATTGAATTAAAGTTAATAGACTCTAAATGACATTTAGCAGTTCTGCTTTTCATGTCAGAATGACACTGCATATACAGTACCTTCCCGAAGTAGGAAAATGCATTCAATAATGAGGGTTTGATGTTTCCAGCATATGTTGCACATGACCTGCTAAATTACCACGTATTGCTGTTACATGCCCATGCAGAGGAACCATTATGCTAAATCACTCTCTTGAGATGGACTCCCCACCATGTTGAACCGTTAGCAACCTAGACCGTGCTTCTGTGACGTATGTACGAGCATTGGCTTTCCACTACTGTTCCTCTATGCTGATGCAGTTTGCTTGGATGACAACTGCGTAGTCTTTTTTGAGTCTATTTTGTCCCATGCAGTCTGCAAGGTCTTTGCATTTTGATATGTCATACTCAAATGGCTTGCATTGCCTGCCGCTCCAAGTCCTGTATGTGTTCAAAGTAGCATTTCTGCAACGGTGTTCGGCTATGCCAAGATGCGTGCCACAAGCACATTTTTACTGCACAGTCTGGGTCTGAAATGTCATATGGGAATCAGGGGGTGGTATTGATTTTGTGTTCACACTTGTCCTATTTCAACACAGTCTGTTTGGCAAGGGACCGTTGCCATAACGACTAGCCTGTGGGTTGTCTTCCTTTGTCATCTGCCCTGACAGAGCCCACTGTGTGTGGGAAACTGCCTGGAACTTTAGACAATGTTATGCCGCTTTTTTGTATTTGAAAGTATTTATGTCTTGTCCTTCAAACCACTTTTGATGGGCACCTAAAACACGGCTGCTTGTACTAACGTGATTTATTCTCCTGTATGTTGACCTGAACCTTCCACGCTTCTGAAACTCTTCTCAGTGCTTCTCTCCCTCTCTGTGGGCCACCTCCATGGATGGCAGGTGGCAAGTTAGTGCTGCTACAGTTCACACAAGTATATTAATATAAGAGTTGAGTGCACCTGATCATGGGGAAATGGTGAGAACGATATAGAGAGGAGCAGTGAAGGAAAATAATGCTGGAAGAACAAGAATGTCTGAAAAGGACAGATGCAAAGTTTTAGACTGGATGTGATGTGGAAGGGCAAATGTCTATCAAATTTGAGATTTTGCTGTAAATGTATGTTTTGTTATAGCACAGTAACAAGTACTTTCTCAGTTCTTATAGTATGGGTTGGATTTGTACTATTTTATTTATTTGCGGCTGAGAATGTTTCAGAAGACAGTCTGCTGTATGTGGGCAGGACACTGTGTTGTCTTCTGGGAGTTTCCTTTGAGCAGTTTTCTATTCGGTTTTGTTTACTTTTCTGAAAGTGCTAATATATCAAAATTTTCAGGTAATCCAAGGAATATGTAAGACATGTTTTTTTCTGTCTGTTTGGTTATATTTAACTTTGAGAAAGGGAAATGCTGAAATTGTAATTGAAATTTGAAATTGTTTCTCTCGTGAACATATCTGTTGGAAAATGAATAGCTAACACTCATTTTTACTGTTTTATTATAGACATTTGTTCTTAAGAAAGCAACACATAGTAAGAAAATTCATTTTAGCTTTTTTCTTTTCTTTTATTGTGGTAACATAATGCTTTTTTGGCCTATCTCCATATTTGCTGTATTAATGTGTGTTACCAAATAAAACAGGCAAATACACTGATTTTGTTTGGAGAGAAAAAATTAAAGCTTGTATTTTGAATTTATTCTCTTTATTTGATTTGAAATATTTATTAAGACTTTAAGTTGTGTTTACAGGTTATGCCTCCATGCACTCTTGTACTGTTATGACTGCTCTTTTTTTAGTACTTTATCTTATATTTTATTTGATTGGTTGGGGATTGTGTTTTTGGGAGATTTTCTTATCTTTCAGAATTTTGAAATAAAGATATGATTAATAGCCATTTTGGGAGTTTCATACAGAGTGAGAGTATAATGAGATTTATTTATTTTATTTTTTTTCTGTTTATAAAACAAAGGCTGACCATGTACATGTTTATAAGACAGATTTGGGTAAAAAAATAATTTGAAAAAAATAGATGGGGTCCCATTTTATATTGGGTGCTATAAGTCCTTAAGAAAAAAATATTTGTTTGGTAAAATGTACTTATGTTCATGTTATATTGCAAAACACTTTTATTGCTATTGAGGTGGGATATGGTTAAGGTTAGGGACAAGTTTGGTGCTTTGGTTAGGTTTAGGGGTAGGGTCAAAGGTGTATGTAAGATAACTAATAGGATACAGTCTTGAAGAAATATTTAAACAGCTGGTTGTATCTGTGATGCTGTGCTCAAGTTTGTAATCAATAAATGACCCTCTCATGTTTATCACTTATTCCTCGTGTTCCCGAGGCACCTAATTGGTCTCTTCTCAGTTCGCTGAGGCCCAAGAGGAAAGAGAGAGCATTGCACTCTCACACCAAGCACCACTCTGGTCCTCTCCTCGCATCGCCTCTCCTCATCTTTCCATCTCTACACCTCTCCTCAACTCAAAAGCAAAACAGATGGTGGAAACGCAGCACATCTGTCCGGTCGCTCTGCAACAATAGATCGCATCGAGTTGGAGTCGAGCCTGGTCATGTCAGCGTGCGAGAACTGCTAGAGATCCGGTGTGTTTTCTGGCTTCGCCTTTCACAACGGCTGCCGAGGGAGGACCGCGCGTCTGTCTGGGTTCTCCAACGAGCGGAGAAGATGGCCGCCATTAAGATTTTAACCAGCGCGGGGCTTTTCTTGGCGTTTTGCGCTCTGGTCTTGTTGGCTATGGCCATCTGCACCGATTACTGGTACGAGACGGATGCTCGGCGGCATCGCGAGCGCTGTAAGAACTACGCAAACAAGCGTAACGATCCCGGATACATTTACATCTCAAATCACAACTTGCCTCTCCAGATGCCTCCAAAGGGCTATGAGAAGAAAGCGACGGAGGCGCGCGTGAAACGGCACGCTCCGGCTTCGGCGACGGCCATGGAGTCTCACTGTAGCCGCCAGTTCAATTCCACGATATCCGGTCTGTGGAGAAAGTGCCATCGCGAGGGCTTTGACCTGGAGACCGAGGATCTCATTTACAAAGGTGAGGTGCTTTGTCAGTCACTGGAGCCTCGGTCCAGGCCGTTTTTGTTTTGAAGCGAACGGATGTGCAAGTTCATCCAGGGGTAAATTTCCCACGACTGTTATCAGTGCACTTGGCCATTGGGTTAGGTTGGTCCTTCCTGTTTTCACCGTGCCTACATGGCATTAACCTCCGCTTAGTGGCATTTCATTTATTTAATGATGTTATGAAGTTTAGTTGGAAAGCGATGTCAATAGTAAAGGGGAAATGTGGAAGGCCTAATATCAGATCAATCCGAGATCCGAGGTGCTGAATGTGTCCTGTGTGAAGACGGCGCAGATAGTTGCTTATATACCACGAAAAAGTGCACTTACAGACTATTTAATTCTTCTTTGCTACATAAATGCATTAATGGATCGATGACAAATAAGGATGTCTGAGATGATAAAAAAAAAAAAAAAGCGATTTAGAAAGAGACATGGAAACCTGAATGGTGTTTACACCATACTGATTTGGCAGAGTTATTCCTTTTTTTTTTTTTAAATAATCATATATATAATATTTTAAAAGAAAACTTTTTTTGCAATCTCTTAAATTACACCACCTAGATGGTTTTGACTTTAAGTTCCACAAAAAAGAAAATATATATAAATAAAAATCTTCATCATGAACCAAAGTCATTTTTTGTATGATTCGCATTTTAATGTATTTTTGAATGGCATATCTGAACAAAAAGAGGGTTTGCAGATCTTTATTGTTCTCTCTTTTAAAATGGTTTCTACCTTGAAGTAGGCAGTTGAATAAAGGCATTTTATTTATGTTTTTGAAGATCACTGTTTTCACTGTTTATTTTATTCCTACCAAAAAAGCACAAACTCACACAGAACTTAAGAGCATACCTGATTTTTGTTGTTCTTGTTGTTTGTTTTTTAAAAGAGCATCTTGTCTTTGTCTCTGGGATTCTGGGATGACAATGGAAAAGTTTAAGGCTGCTCTGATGCTGAATCATTTACACAGAACCAAAGCAACACCAAATGTGTTATGTAATGTATGTATTCTAAATCTCATGTAATCTAAATGCTCAGGGTTGACGAAAAGAAAAGAAAAATTACTGGAGGAAGGACTGTGTAATGCACTGTTCAAGTGTGAAATATAAATGTAGTACCAGCGAATATGAGTATTGGTTTTTGTAAAACAAATTATGACCTACTCCGATAATACTATAAGGAATACCTAGACTATATAGTTTATCAGATAACATTATCCATAAGATGATCAGACTTAAGCAAAATGATCATATTTTACTTACCCTCATCATATGAATACTAATCTCATGTATAAGAGGCTTACAGCACTCGTCTCTACCATTTGGTACAGTATTCTTTGATAAAGATCGCATTCCACATTATGTCCAGGCCTTAAATATTAAGTGTGAGCTTTTACAGCAGCCATTTCTCTTGCTGGGTTGCAAAGAGAAGGAACGCTGCTCACTTGACCATATCTTCATCAATAATTTGTTCATTGATTTTCCCAGGTCACCCTAAGTGGCTCTGTAGATGTCATGAATGATGAAGTAGTGATGGTGTGCAACCATTCCAGTTAGACTGTGAGCCAACACCCAGGAATACATCGCTTCCAGATTTATAGTCCAACCCTGCATTATCAACACAGTAATCTTTGTGTTCACATAAAGCAGCCAGAACATTGTTCTTGATCATCCCAAATGAATATATTTGGTCCTAAATTTAAAAACAGTACAATATAGATGTTGACTTGTCCTAATGTTTAAAAATAATAACAATAACCGAGAACTGTAAATCCACCAATGCAAACTGACAGTGATCCTTAGAGAACTGGAACAGTTCAGACTAAATCCAATGAAAATAGTACGCCATGTGTCCTCTTATCCAAATTTAAAATGCTTTAAACATATCAAAATGCTTTAAAAAGCTGAATGAGACTAAATGTTAAGCATCTTTAGAGAGTAGTCTATCACAATATGAGCATTAACATCAATAAATGAGCTGCAAATTTGATGTTTTTAAAGAACTGATCTGCAGGGTATTCTTTTCTTTTCTTTTAACTTTAGTCCACCAATTAATTTGAAGTCTCTTTGTAGTTTCCATCAGATCACAGATATTCTTTTATGTTTTTCATTGTTTACACAAATAAGAGTGAAAATACCAGCTTTTTCTTCAGCAGAGGATGAACAGTTGAATGTGCAAAGTGTCTTTGTGACAGATTTTCAGGCTTTGATGTGTCTGTTTGTGATTATGACATAGAACAAGCTGTCACAATATATTTGACACATAGATATGATAAACATGACACAAGTGCTCAGCTCACGCACAGGGTCTGTACAGCAACAAACTCAATGCCTTTTGTGCCTTTGAGTCTTTGTAGAAAATACTTCAACAAATCAATTTAACACAGTCCAGTTTCTGTAAAAACTGTAATTAAATGGCGGCTCATCCTTTTCTTTATCCTTGACCTCTCCTCTCTTGTTTTGTCTAATCCACAATATCAGCAATTGATCCAGCATGCTTCTAATGACAGAGAATCCAGTAAAGCAGTTGTACACACTCAAGTGCAGCATTTGTGCTTTATATTCTGTGGTGAATAAATCATGTTTAAACTAGGCATTTTGATGTAGCAGGATGTGGTCATGCTCTGATGGATTATATGAGAACCAATTTGTTGTGTTTTAGTCATTCAGTTGACTGATGTTGCTGAAAGCACGTTTCTGCATAATCAAATCTCTTAGAAGATTATGATTGCTATTAGTGAAGTGTAAACGGGTGATTAATATTTGTTACTCAGTTACTTGTTACTCAGCGTCCTGGTCTGGATCTGGGTCTTGGCTTATGGTCTCAGACAAAACCACATGGTCTTCAGCTAAGGCTGTGTGTCATCCACTAAAATGTGAAATCCTTTTGACTTAATTGTCAACGTTAGTAGATTTGTACAAATATGATGCAATCCCTTTTTATCACTTGTTTTTTAGTTCTGTAAAATGTATCCATTTAAAGGTCTGTTTACAAAACACGTTCATGTTCTATTCAATTAAACTTTTGCTTTTGAAGGAGCAGTTCAAAGTACTAATAATTCAAAATTATAAGGTAGAAAACTCTGGTCTCACTTTGACCCAACTGGCCATAACCTTTATGTAACATTTCACATTATAATTCTCACATTATAATTAATTTTGAGAAATGCTATGGGAAACTTGCTGGGGTTTAACGTATATCGCTGACATTCATTGTACATTTTCTGGCTGTTTGAGTAGATTTACTGGAAATATGTATAGTTGACACTTTTCTGTGTGCTCCAAAGCTTACTTCCAATTTTAAGTTCAGTCAACCAATTAGGTTTTACAGTGGCAGTGACAATGTATAGAAAATTTGAAAGTATTCAAAATAAAAGTTTATTGCTGGGAATCTATGGAAGCCCATTTCTGCTAAAAAAAAATAGAACTGCAACTTTTTATCTCATAATTCAGACTTTGTTTCTTGCAATTCTGAGAAAAAAGTCAGAATTGTATTATATACGCTTAGAATTCTGACTTTTTTTTCCTTGAAATTCCAAGTTTGAGTCTCACAGTTCTTAGTTTATATTTCGCAATTCAGACTTTTTCCACCATGGAATAAAAATAATAATAATAAAAGGTAATTGACACTTTTTACTTGCAATTACATGTTTATATCTCACAAGTCATACTTTACTGAAGTTAACATCTCGCAATTCTGACTTCATATCTCTAATTATATAAAAATAATAATCTGAACAAAGTCTGAATTGCGTAATAAGAACTCAGAATCACAAGAAAAAAGTCTTAATTGTGAAATAAAAAGTTGTGATTGTGATTTTTATTCCATGGCAGAAAAGGGCTTCCATAGGAATCTGAAATAAATGTTGGCTGAGAAAGTTTCCCCTGTCACCAAGGAGGCAATCAACTATATACTGCAACACAGCTAAAACATTGAGCGATATAGAGGCATCCAAACAGAAACCCACTCCATGTCTTCCATCACCATCACCTAGTCTAACAACTGGAAGAGTGTCAAACCATACCACGCACGTTGCAACACTTATGAATAGAACATGTATGCCTGCTCTGATTTATGCAAATCAATCCCAGACCAAATCATCTGCTGGATGAAAGCTAAAAATAATGTTGATGTGGGGGAGAAGAACACAAAGTTTACCTTGAAAAACCCTGCGTAGCCTGTGGCGATAGAAATGTATTTGTTATGCAAGTCATTGCAACATTTCATGCTATCTGATTCACATTTGAGGTTTCTCTGATAAAGATTAGAATTTTTACCCGATTAAGCCTGTTTTATGTCCAGAAGGAGGAAACCTTATGAAAGAAAATGACTGTAGATGGTTTCCAGCTTCGTGAAGTGCAAGTTAATTATTCTGAGGTTTACACTCGCCTGTTCAGGATTCATACAATTGTCAACAGTGAGGAAGGCAATCAGCACTAGACACACACAACACACTCACACTTATGTCATTCATTACAGTGCCAAACAAGTGCTTGTCTTTAATAAAAAATACTATGTAATGTTATACTGTTTAGGAATTTCTACTGATGCATGGTGGTTTTTATTTTATTTTATTGGCATGTTTTTTTGGTTAAACATAACTCTTCCCTTTAAAAATAGTAGTTTTGCAGTCATAGGCTTTATTTCAGTGACATTAGTACAGTCCAAATACTGAGAGATTTATAGATAGTATTAAAGGTTTAAATGAAGTAGGTTTGTTTTTACAGCCTGGTGCTCTAATTTTACATGAAAATAAAATCAATATGAAATGCAACTGTGACATTTATGACCCTGTGCATTTGATCATATGCACCTAATTGCTCTCCAGGAAATAGACTAATTAAAGTGAATACAAGCATGGGCCTCTTGTGGCATTCTGTGATCACAACAGACCTGCTGATCCTCAGGAGATTATAGCCTCTGACTGATTAGCTTTTCCTAAACAGTCACTGTAAATGTCATTAAAGAGTATACTTATGCACAATGTTTGATTCATTGTTTTGTTCAAATAGGGTTGATTCAGAGATGCACCCCTGTGAAGTATCATTACACCTCTTCAATCCTGCCTCGAAACCTTCCTGTCAACATCACCAAGACCATCCGGCAAGATGAGTGGCATGCCCTGCGTGAGTCTGACAGTCTCTTTTTTTACATGTGTCAGATTTACAAAATTCATGTCTTGGGGTTTGAGCCGTTCATTATTGCATAAACAATTGTGTCTGTGATGTGCTTGTTCCAATGCAATATTTATGAAACACACTTATTTTCTTAGAAAAGATTGTAATTGATCCTTTCCTAGTTGTAGGAATATTTTGGTAACATATGATACTTCTGCACGTGACCCTAGAGAGGACAAACCGTGTGTAGAATGGATGGATGGATACTATTGTAACCCTCCTATACTTGACATCTTACATACACACTTTCAGTCACTGCCTACACTAAACAAGATTCATTATTTCACCAAAAAGGTCAAACATTTTATACTGCCCGGTAGCCTGTACTGACAAACATACAGAATACCCACTGATGTGAATATTTGATTAATTGATAATGATGAAATGTTTAAAATGACAGTAAAGACATTTACAAAGTTACAGAAGATTTCTTTTTTTAAATAAATGTTATTATTTCGAACTTCCTGTTCGTCCAGAATTCTCAAAAATGAATCAGTTTACACAAAAATTTTAATCAGCACAATTATTTTAATATCGATTATAAGCAATGTTATTTTTGAATGGTAGTGAATAGACAAATTACTTCATAACACTTTATTTTAAGGTGTCCTTGTTACACATGTTACATGTACTTACTATTATAATAACAATAAATGATGCATGATTACATGCAAGTAACCCTACACCAAACCCTAACATGTAGTTTATTAATATTACTCAGCACTTAAATGTATAACAAGGCACCTTAAAATAAAGTGTAACCAATTACTTTATTCAAGATAATGTGTACAAGAAGTAATATGCACAGACAACATATATTTTATCATTGATTATTATTTCCCTACCCTTTTTTTCAAATTAATATTTTATCTGGCCCTGTGTGGCCAAAAATTTGGTGCATTGAAATGTGCTTTTTATTTATTTATTTTATTAGGTATAATCGGCTGCTTTGTTGGCAAAATGTTGCAGGAATTTGTTTCATTCCTGCCTTTGTAGTAATGTGAAATAATAATAAAAAGACCTTGATGAATAAAAGAAAAGCATTGAGAATGCAAAAGTAAATATTTAACATGCAATAGAAGTCATCACTAGATGCTTACAAGCCCTGAGTTGTAACAAACGAGGCTTAATGTTGGTGTTTTGTGCTGCAGATCTGCGGAGGATGACAGCAGGTTTTGTGGGCATGGCTGTCTCTATCATTATTTTTGGCTGGGTCATCGGAGTTCTTGGATGCTGTCAACAGCATGATCTCATGCAGTATGTAGCTGGACTACTCTTCCTCATGGGCGGTAAGAGACGGAGTGTGCGTTTGTGCGTGTGTGTGAGAGAGAAATAAGTAACTTGACTGCTCAAATTTTTTTTTTCATTCAACAAGGTGCTTTGAAAATAGATCAAAAGCTTTGCATCCTATATTTTTGTGATCTAAAAGGAAAGGGTGTTTCATGAATGTTTGATGATACATCTCGAGTAATTTCCCCTCTGGCAGGAACCTGCTGTATTATCTCCCTTTGCACGTGTGTGGCGGGCATTAACTTCGAGTTGTCGCGTTACCCACGTTACCTGTACGGCCTTCCGGAGGACATCAGTCATGGGTATGGCTGGTCCATGTTCTGTGCCTGGGGCGGACTGGGTCTCACCCTGCTGGCCGGTTTCTTATGCACGCTGGCCCCTTCTTTAAGCAGCCCCTTGGCCCGCACCACAGTCCACAAATCCAGGCACGAAAATGGGACTGTGTGATCAGAGACTTCTGGAGCAACACACAAATGTATACAGTGTCTACATAAGGACAACGCATCTGGCCTATTCATCATCATGCAGTATATTGACTGGATCATTTCTCTTTCCATGTTCATATGACTCCAGTGACTCTTGTTGATCACCGTTGTCAACACAACTTGTGTACACCGTCCATTTGTTTAAAAGGTTGAAGTCTGTAAATGGCCTGAACACTGCTGATAAAGTCAAATGGAGACACAAGCACAGACCACCAAGCATCTTCCACCGTCTCACATGTCTCACTCTGGTTCTTTGTGGCACAAAAAAAAAAAAACCCAATGAAAATGGGGACGGAGAAGCGAGCTGGAGGCGACTGTCTTCTCTCCAAGAGGATAAAACGGTGCTCTCTTTTCAAAATCACACAACTGCACAGAAATCTTTTCAAAGACAACAAATAAATCTACGGTTTTTCTTATAGCTGACTGGCGGTGTGGAGGATTGTGAGTCCGGAGTGAAGAGGGGAGCAACGGAAAGGAGAGAGAAAAGTATTTCTGTCACTCAAGCTTCGAGAAGCACATTTCCCAAGGCCTCAAAGAGTCCGTATGTGTAAAAATACTTTGTTTTGTCTAGATTTCAGGTATATTTGTATGAAATTATGCTTGGGATATAAATGAAGCCTTTTCTCTCTTTGTTATGATTGTAACGATCGGTGACATGGCTAGCTGTTTTGAGGAATCTGACCAAATTTGAAGAATTTCGGGCATGTGAATTACCAACTTAATGAAAATGTTTTGGGGGTATTTCTGAACATCATTTCTCATGAAGCCTTATTGCTGTTATGAGCACAACATGATTCGAATCAGAGTTATACGAGAGCTCAGCACCTTCCAACCACAACTGAATGTTGCTGAATAGTCAAGATACGGTTACAGCTCGGGCTGCACATGCAAGATTTTGAAGGAAATTCAGTGTGGTTTAGCCACAAAAAGTGACGATAGAACAGCGTTATGTACAGAATTTAAATCAAGATGATGGATTGCAGGTAGAGTGTTTGATATACAGTACGGTACATGACACGCAACAAGCTATAATGTTTACATCATGTAATGTTTGTACTTAGATGACTCCAACCAAACAATATTTTAAAAACCCCAACAGGCCTGGAAGTTTTATTCTAGTAATAATCTAGTAATATCTTTTTTTTAAGTGAGTGTTTCCACATTATCATGAATAATTCATATTGATTCTTCTCTCACCAATGGATATTATTTATTGAGGATGCTACTGTGAAAAGCACAGTTTCCATAAAACATTTACCAGCACCTCACATGTCTTTGCCAAATGTTCATTGATAATCTCCTAGACCTCCACAGAACCCAGATCAATTCTTGAGCACAATGTACTGATGTTGATATTAACTGTGGGATGAAACGCAATAGATAATGTAAGACTTTAAAGATGGCAAATACTGTGGATGTATTCCAAGTGCGCACTGGAAACTGTGGAGTCCAGTCATTTTTAGGGTAAAGCTTACAGCTGATTGGCACAAACATTTATGTCACAGACATAAAATGAACAAAGCCAAAAGAACAAATCCCTTTAGGTGGATAGGAAAGTGCTGTATTGAGTGTGACCTTTCTGATGAACTGCAGATCAGGTATTGACTGAAAATATAGTGGCAAAGAAGTAATAAACACCACTTGGGAAAAGATTTTTGTTAAACGTCTGAAAATGTGAATGTTTTGGACAGGATTTGAAAAAAGAGCACAAGAACAATGTGGGAAAAAAAGCTTTTCTAATAAAAGCAGCTTCAGCTGTTTTGTCATTTATGGGAAGATATGAGAGACATTTGTACAAAAGCTGCCATATTCTTTGGCAGCTGAAGTAGCACAACTCTTTTATTTATTTTTGGGTATGAACTGTTTTTACTGGTTCATTTCATAATTACAGCTGGAGAAAACAAGTATCATTGTCTCGCATGCCGTCATATTGATTCATTTCAGTGTATTTAGATTGTGTCAATTTTTTTAAATGATTTTATTTTATGAAATAAAATGTTAGTAGCATTTCATCACGAGGTACTTTTCATTTCTATTTCATTCAGTTTTTTTTATTAAAATAGTTTTGAATGTTATAGCCCACTTGGGCTTCAGTTTGACTTAATTGCTAAATGAGCTATGTACATGCTTGGTGTAAAAAATTACAATACTAATTATCCAGAGTACATGAATGGAAGCATATGAGGCAGGTGGGTCATGTTTAATTCACTTTCTATTCTAGACGAATTTCCACCTAGAAAGGCAATATTGCAGTAATGCCACGTGCTGTACTGAAATACAGTTAATAATTTGAAATGGGGCACCACCTAGAGGATATTTGTGGAACATGTTCACTTTAAACCCTCATTAAGAATACAATACAAGTACAATTACAGTATTTGTAAAGTCAAACAATCAGCATACAACACACATAAATCAGAATTAAAGGTTACAATAAAATAAAAATAAAGTAAACCAATATTGGCTTCCCAGTAAATGATTCAACAGAGATCCTGCCCTTTATGTTTTTAAAATTTAACATAAGAAAAAAAAAAGACACAAGGAGATGAAAAATTCTTAATATCTGTAAACAAACCTCAGGAGATACAGTATGAGATACCCTATAAAAAACATGGGTAAATATTATTTTTTATTTGATACTCGGGTGTATCAGATGGTGACCCAGCACATTATCAAAATTGTATCTTACAAAAATAAAGAGAATGTTCTTTAAAAATAAACTTTAAAATGTATTAATATAATCATGTACTGTATAGATTCATCAGTATGCAACATTAACATGCCTTGGGCTGAATATGTAAGCAATTTTATATATTAGCAATTTCCTTTTGGCTTGTATAGTTTTTCGTTTTCTCCCTTTTCCCCCCCTCTTTATATTTTTTGAGTCACTACCCAAAAGGTTGAAGACCACTGCCCTGAAGAAAGATTAATTAAATTACAAAAAAAAAAAAAAAAAGATCAAGCCAGAATGCTGCAGATTTTAATACAGCCAAATTATGACTATTTCTGCTCCTGGGAACCCTGTAAATGTGAAAAGTGTCCATTGGGTGTTAAACAGTAAAGTTTAGCCATCTGTCATTTTGAGCATGGGACAGAGGCATTCAGTGTTTCATAATCTGATGAAATTGTATCTTATTCTGGCTCCTTGAGGCTCCCCATGTAGCCTCTTCAATTCACATTTATTATTAAAATATTAGGCAAACTACATAGAAACATAATAGCACACATCTGCTCAACAAGCTGCATGATTTGAGGTATCATATAAGCACAAACATTGCAGTCCACCTGGGCTACTTCCCTCCTAGAAAAAAAAAGCCTGCTGTTGATTTAACAGAAGTAGCATTTACTGTCACATTACTTCTTGAAGCGGGAGTGAGTACCCACGACCAGATAACTGTCCCGGGACAGCTCTCTCTTGACTGGGGACCTGCCATTAGGCTTGCAGGTTTTGGTTCCAGGCCGAGCGATCTCAGTCATCTTACAGGGGTCATGCTTTGACAAGTAAGTACCAAAGGTCTCCCATCCACCGCCAACACGAACCATGGCATGTTTATCATTCAGCATCTGTAAAAGCGAGAAAGCACAAGAGAGTGTTCCCCATCACACCTCAAATTAAGAATTGTGTTTAATATAATTCCTACAGTAAAATTTACGGTGAAGGAAATTACTTATAAAAATGTGTCAGACTCTTTTGTTTCTGCCATTAATGTCTTAAAGTGCCCTTATTATGGCTAATGAAAGGTTCATATTTTGGTTTTGGGAGTCCCCAACAACAGGTTGACATGCATGCAAGGTCAAAAAACACTTTCATTGTCTTATAATATGCATTTATTTTTACCTTACTTGCTCAATGACTCCCAAACGATTCGCTCAACTATTCATTTTTCCAAACCCCTCCTTTGAAACGACTCATTTCAATGATTCAGAGTCGACTCTTTCTTTTGAGGGACAATAACTTTATGCACGGCGCACTTTCAGTTTTAAAACTTTGCAGGATGTTTTCATTCACTTAGAGCTGTGTTACACACTGAATGAAAGGTAATTTTCAAAAATCCATAATAGGCGCACTTTAAAAATTATTGCAAATCACATAGGCTACAATAAAAAAAATGTGCTCACAAGTGATATTTACCTTTTTTTTTGTTGTTTGTTTGTTTTTTTGTATTATTAATCTTCACACTTTATGTCTCATATAAGCCTATCTGAAGCATCTGATGCTCCTCACTGATAATTGTTTCCTTGGTAAATACAGTAATGCTAACTTCTGAAAAAATTGTCAGGACAAAGGTTTGTTGTGGTGACAACGATGCAGTCACCGTATTTGAATCATTTGAATTTAGGGCTGGATAAAAAATATAGATATCTCGATATTAATCGATTCTCATTTTTACGGAATGATATAGATTCTTAAATCCCAAGAATCGATTAGTCTAGCCTGTTTTCAGTTAATGGACGGAACGTTGAAGGGCACTTCCCATCCAATATATCACAATAAGCATTGTGCTTTGGTACTTTTAATATGAAACATAGTCTCAGATTTCAAATTCTGTCCATTGTATTGCAATATTCAAACAACGCGAGGCGCACGTGAACTGATCAGATCTCCTCCACATTAATACGTTTCAAAAAGTTTCAGCACAAAATAAACATGACTAAACATCCGAAGGTAAGTTAAAAGAAAGAGTACAACTTTACAATC